CACATAGGAGAAACTATACCATATTTAACTTTCAGTGTCTGATTTACTTTGGTTAGCATCATGGTCATATGTTCCATCTATTTTCCTGAAAATTATATGATTTTATTCTGTATGACTGAAGAATATTCCATCGTGTAGCTATACCACACTTTCTTTTGATGGGCATGTAGTTATTTCCCAGAGTGTAGCTATTGTGAATTGTATTGCTATAAACAAGAGTATGCATGGATCAATATATAAGTATGATGTCTTTAATTCTTTCCAAAATATACCCAGAAGTGGTAGAGCTGGGATGAATGGAATTCTATTTTTTTTTATTTTGTATTTTGTATATATATATATATTTTTTTTTTGGCCTTTTTCCTTTTTATCGTTACGAGGGATCGAACTCATGACTACCTGCTTGCAAGGCAGGCGCTTATGCCCCTGTGCTAAATCCCCGGCCCCTGGAATTCTATTTTTAGATTTTATGTTTTGGGGCTCGGGATTTAGCTCAGCGGCATAAGTGCCTGCCTTGTAAGCAGGCAGTCGTGAGTTCGATCCCTGGTACCGATAAAAAGGAAAAAGACAAAAAAAAAAAAAGTTTTTATGTTCTTTTGTTTTTTTAGGAATCATCATACTGATTTTCATAGTGGTTATAACAACATTTTTAAAACAAAATATAAGTTAAAAAGTGTACTTGGATTTGGCTACATCAAAATAAAGGATTTGTGTTCTGTGTAGGGTAATGTAGATAATATTAACAAACAGATGTTAAATTAGGAAAGAATACTTATAATGTTAGAAGCCTGCAAGGTTATGGTGTGCATGTACTAACTCCCCATGATGAATGTGATCAATATGTACTATAAACATGTATCGATAAAAGCAAAATATTAAAAAAAACTTGCAAGGAATAATTTTCAAAATATATAAGAACTCTTTAAATAAATATGAGAAACCCAAGAGAAAAATTCCTAAGTGATCAAGCAGGCAGTTCACAGAGGAAATCTGAGAGAATAACAAATACATGAAGAATTGTTAAATCTCATTAAAAAGAGACAAAATGCAAATCCCAGCAACGATGCAGTATCCTTTCACATGTTTTTGAATGGTAGTGATTAGAAAGGTGGACAATGTAAGTGCTGAATGGAGCAGTGACGGTTTCTGCATTGTCAGTAGGATCACACATCATATAATCGCTCTGCAAACAAGCTGGAAGCTGGTCCGTACACATGCCCAGCAGTCCCACTCATGGGAACGTTTTCAGAGCACTAACAAAGGGTGGAGTGGGAACGTGGGGTGTGAGGCTCACCTAACATACCGTCAGTAGTTGAGGCGACAGGTAAACTTCGGTGGGAGCATTCTGTGAGACGCTGGGAAGCAGTGAGGGAGGAATGAAACGGTCACAGAGAAATCTTAAAAATGATCACGAGTGAAAATACAGGAGCAGCGATCACAGTTCTCCAGCACCACCGCTGTGTCCTCAAGCAGCAAACCCACAGTTCCTTGTAAAATAATCATACTTGTTTTATAGAATGCCACACACATTTAAAAACACACGCTCACCTCTTTGAAGTGGCAGAATATTTAGATAAGGGAAGTAAGTGTGGAAATTGAAAAAAGAGCAAATTAAAGCTGAGAAAAAGTTGTGGATGGACCAGTGATGATGATAATACTGAGAAATGAAGACATCAGTTAACCCACCTGTTGATTCTGTGCATCTGGGCTTCACAACAATCACAACCACAACCGCAACTGCAACCAAACCACCCAAACAACATCTAGGTCATTTTCAGTCTTTTGCTATTTCAAATTGCGCTACAAAGTCTGTCCAAATGAAACATTTTTCTTGTGCCTTATATTTCTGGGGTATTGCTTCTGCTTGGAATTTTTCTTAAAAGAGACTCAAGGCATCCTAACTGGAAGTAAAGCTACAATAACTGTCTTGCAAACATACGGGGTGTTTTCATGGTCCCCATCCCGGATAAGAGGTCCCGGGGACTTGACAGATGAATTCGAGGGCAGCTGCTTTTCAAACAGAGCCAACATGGTAAAGATTTCAATGAACTTTTTAAATTTACCATATTGGAAATCAATACTTAATAATTTAAAAATAGCAATCAGTCCTATAAAATATTAACACAACATTTCAGAATGAAAAATAGTGGTTTTACAATGCAAACATTTTGTGAGGAAAGTGGTATCATTTTACATGTGGGCAAATCCCTTTAATGTGTAGAGGAACAGAAGACAGCTGGATTCTCGTATATTCTACAGCCCTGAGTCTCTTATGAAATGTTTTGATTGAAGTAGGTTTAGAAAACCCAGCTTCATATAGACATGTAGTTGGGACGGCGAGGAGGATTTCAACAGCCTTTTCAAATAACGGTGGATGTTTTGCTTTGATGTTGCACCAAAGCCGGAGAAGTGGTGGTATCTTAAAGGTTATTTGCCATGTGGAATCTAAAACTATGATCAATGGTGGTTTTGAAGTTTGTTATATTACAAACCAGTGGCATGTCTTGTATTTTGGTAACTCTCTTGCCTATGGATGACTTTGTAGTTTCAAGCATTGGTCGTTTGGAAAATACTGGCTCACTGATATTTAAATTTCTTGCACAATATTTAAAAATCATATTTGGTAATAGTAAGACTGACCTCCTCCGAAAGGAGTCCTGACGTGCTGGGAAGCTGTGATGTTCTCAGCAGTGGACATACATGTTTTCTAAAATTTTAACTTTCATTTCAAAGCTCACAGTTGATCATTGGCAACAATATTGTCATTTCCCTCTCTTAAAATTACAGACTCACTTCATTATTTATGAGGAAATAAAAAGTCTGAATAACCATAGAGTGTCTGCCAATTGGTTTTTCAAATAAAAATGGTACCCTGTGAAAAATGCTATTGTTTTAGCTTGCTACACAGTATTAGAGCACTTTTGTGTATTGTGTCCTGGAAGTGGTCTATTCATTGCCCCCCTCCTCTGTTATTTTTTAGTACTGGGGATTGAACACAGGACATTCACACTGAAGTATATCCCCAGTCATTTTTATTTTTAAAAATTTATTTGATTATTTTTGAGATAGGCTCTCCCATAGTGCCCGTAATACAGGCATGTGTACCTAACTGTACTTCCCATTATGTTAATCAATATTTAACAAGATTTGTACTAAAGGTTTGAGGTCTAATGAATTAAAAAATTTCTACAGAATCATTGAGGACATTCTTAGATACAAACTGCTTTCCTTCTTACACAGCGGTAACTGAAAATAGTAGACTGGTTTTGTGCCTGTCACTTTCTTGGTAAGTACTAAGGTGCTATCTGTTTTTGTCTTTATGAGACAGGGCCTCATTATGCAGGTCGGGCTGCACTTGGGCTCACTTTGTAGCCCAGGCTGGTCTCAAACTTGCAACAATCCTCCTGCCTCAGCCTCCCTCCGAGCACTGGGATTACAGGCGAGCACCACCATGCCCAGCTCAGTGCCGTCTGTTTTTGAGAACTGTCACTGGGTTTCTTAACCCTTCCTTGGCCCCTATCTCTTTTCATTTCCTAGTGTTGAGGAAGGCTTCATGAAATAGAATAGTATTACCTCCTCTTCAGTGGGACTCAAAACAGTAGGTAGGAGGAGGCTGATGAAGTTTCTTCCAGAAAGAAGCAGAAATAAGAAAAACAAAAATACTAGAGAGATTCCGAGAGAGATAGGAGGAAAAGAGATAGAAACTTGTTTTGGATTATGTTCTCTACTACAACTGTACAGAAATTTCCATATCTAAGCTTAAACACACGAACACAGCTGAACTGCTGGAGTGTTAGTGTGGGGAAAGTATTTCTAATAATGACTTTAAAAATTATATGAGAAAAAGCCAGGTGTGGTTGTGCACACCTATAATTCCAGCTATTCACAAGGTTGAGACAGAAGGATTCAAAATCAAGACCAGTCTGGATAATTTAGCAAGACCCTGTCTCAAAACAAAAACAAAAAATAAAATAAAATAAAATAAAATGGTCCTGGAATGTTGCTCTGTGGTAGAGCTCCTGGTTGAATTCTCAGTACTACACACCCACACACGAATTATACAGAAAAAAAATGCATGGGATTTTTTAAAAAGCACTTCTGTATGACAAAAAAACACTTCATAAAGAGACACATATTTGTGATTTAAAGGACCCTTAATATGTAAAGGATTCCTGGATTAACACAAAAATGGATCAAACATAAAACATTTGGCAGAAAAAAATATGAATGGTTCCTTAAAATATAGAAAGAAGCCCAAATTTACTCTGTTTTTTGGTTCCTTCTGTAGCCCAGAGTGGCCTGGAACTTGAGATTCTCCTGCTTCTGCCTCCATAGTACAAGGATTGCAGATGTGTGTCATCATACTTAGGTGTCAACCCCACTCTTTTGTAAGTTCAAATTACACTTATGATGAAAAGTCATTTATTTATCAAACTGACAAAAATCCTTAAACTTGGCAACATATTGGCAACACTTTACGGGAAAATATAATTTTGTATATTACATATAGGAGTGTAAATTGCTATATCTCCTGTTAATGGCAATTTAGAAATACCTTCAAATTTAAAATTTAACCCAGCCAGGTGTGGTGGTGCATGCCTGTAGTTCAAGCACTCAGGAGGCTGAGGTAGGAGGATTGTTGCAAGTTTGACACCAGCCTGGGCTATAAGGTGACCTCAAGGCCAGCCTTGAACTGCATAGCGAGACCCTGTGTCAAAAAGACCAAAATAAATAAATAAATAAAATTAACCTTTGCCCTAGCAATTCTGCTTCTAGGAATTTTCCCTATAGCACGTGAAATGAAATAGTCACCAATTCAATGCTCCTGCGGCGTGCAGGATGCTGGAAGGCAGCTCCTGACACGGGCACCCCAGACAGACACCCCTGACAGACACAGCCAGAGTCCGCGTGGCGCCTCCTCGGGTTTAGGCCTTAGGTTTCCTGCTCTCTCACTCTGCCTCCTCCTCTTTTTCCTCTCTTTTTGAATTTTCCATCCACAGGAGCTTCCGCCCACGCTCCACTACGCAGACCTAATTAAGGCACATTGGAGCCAGCAAGCTGTGTGCCTGTGGCAGGACAGTGCCAGCGCGTCCTAGGGCCAGAATCCACACCACTGTCTCCTCCCCAGCGGCACACAGTGTCTTCACTACCCCAGGACAGGGATGCGACCATGTCAGAGAAGGTGCCTTGTGCACGTGGAACCAGCAGCCTGAGCACCCAGCCGCCAGTGTGAGGTTTCCGAGTGGATCCTTGGATTCTCAAAGAGCTGAACCTTTTCCCTAGCAGTCAATTGCTTTGTCGAATAGAAAACATCATGTAAACCGTAAGAATTTGGTAAATCAAAAACTAGCTGGGTGAGGTGGCGCACACCTGTAATCATGGCATTCGAGAGGCTGAGGCAGGAGGATGGCTGTGAGTCCAAGGCCAACCTGCACGGTGAGACTCTGTCTCAAAAAACCAATAAATAAATAAATGAATGAATAAATAATATAAAGTACATGATTAGTGTACATAGTAATAACAGGATTATTGGTTTTTCTTTTTTTTTTGGTCTTTTTCATTTTTATCAGTACCAGGGATCGAACTCACAACTGCCTGCTTGCAAGGCAGGCGCTTATGCTGCTGAGGTAAATCCCCAGCCCCTAGGATTATTTTTTTAAAAAATTCATGAGCTTTCATGCAACAGTAAATTATTATTATTCAGGCCAGGCTGAATAACAGTAAATTATTATTATTCACTTCAGGCTGGCCTTGGATTTGCTACCTAGCGCAGGCTGGTCTCTAATTTGTGGCAGTCCTCCTGCCTCAGCCTCTTGGTTCATTTTATTTATTTATTTATTTATTTGCAGTAGTGGGGGATTAAACCCAGGGCCTCCACCCTCTTTAGCAGGATCTTGCTAACTTGCCCAGGCTGGGCATGAATTTGTACCCCTCCTGTCTCGGCCTCCAAGAGCTCTGGGATTACAGATGTGCGCCACTATGCTTGTGAATTTACACTTCCAAATGTGTAAAAGGGATCCTGATAAAAATGCCTAACCACGGAAATCGTAACTCTAGTTACAGTATTTGGTTTTTGAAATAGCACCTCACCATTAAATTACTTTTTATGTTTTTATATTATTAAATTATATTTACTTTACTTTCCAAGTAAAATTTATTACTGTTTGAGCTAAGACGCGGCTTGCTGGCGTCTCACACACGGCTGGAATGAGGATTCCTCCCTGTGGCAGGCAGCCACGCTGTGGTCGGTCAGAGGTTTCTTTCCATTATTAGTGGAAAAGCTACATTGTCTATCTGCCTGAGAATGTTCATGGGAAGCTTGCAACTTCTTCATCTGGAACTCATTTGGCAGAGTGCACACATGTCAGGCTGTGGAATAGGTGACAGCCATCCTGCAGTCCCGCAGGTCCACCACCAGGCCTGGGCGCAGCAGATCTCCAGAGTTCTCCACCACCGAAAACCCCAAACATTTGACCTTGAGAACCGGGAGGGGGTGCGGTGCAGGGGACACTCTTACACATTACTTGCTCATTTGATTGATTGAGTCTGGGTCTCACTGTGCAGCTCAGGCTGCCCTTGAAGTCATAGTGATCTTCCTCGATCGGCTTCCTGACTGCTGAGATTACAGGTATGGGCCACCAGGCCTGGCAAGTTGCTTTTGTGTTGCTGTTGCTACTAAGTAGGGTAAATTTCCTAATTTTCAAAAGAGCTTTGTAAAAACCTCCCCTAGAGGCAGAGGTGTGATTTTTTTTTTTTTTTTTTTTTTTTTTTTTGGTACTGGGGATCGAACTCACCATGCTTGCCAGGCAGGTGTAGTCAGCAAAATCTCATCCTACTCTATCTCCTATAAATACAAGATAAAAGCAGTAACATTTTCATGAGTATCCTTCAAGTGCAGTCCCTAAAATAGTTGGGGGTACAGACTCGGCATTGTCTGTGTATTCCAGTTGCTCCTTGTTGACGACTGATGGGACTGAGTTTTTGTCTGGCTGTGGTCAAACAGGAACATTGGCATGGTGGCACAAACTTGTCATCCAGTGCCCAGGAAGGTTGGCAGGACTGCGGGTTTGAGGCAGCCTGGGGAACTCAGTAATTTGGTGAGACCTTGTCTCAAAAAACAAAAATGGAAGGTCTGTGAATACAGCTCACGCACTCAGCGAGAAGGCCATGGGCTCAGTTTCCAGTATCCGCCATCAAAAAGAGCTTAGGCTGGGGGTTTAGCTCAGCGGCACAGCACCTGCCTGGGAAGTGTGAGGTCCTGAGTTCGATTTCTAGTATCAAAAAAAATGGGGGCTATTTTTTATCCATGATCATGTCATTTTCTATGTTTATAATGTTTGTTCTTCTGTTACCATGGCTATTGGTAATAGTTTTAAACGATTTTTTTAGTAGAAGCTTTCTATAGATCTCTAGATTTTGGGGAAATTTTATTTATTTTAAAATCTACAAATGTGGGAACCATATCTATAAAACATTAAAACATCTACATAAAAATGGAAAAGTCAGAAATGAGCAAACTTACCTAATATTTCATTTTTCATCAAGACAGTGAGACATTTGCTTTAAACAAATAGTATATTATCTATTATATACAAATCTTTATGGATAAATTGGTTCAAAATGGTCATTGTACACATTCAGGTGAACTCAGAAGAGCAATTTTAAAAATGCATGAAAAAAGAAAGCATGAAAAGTGACCTTGGCCAGTGTAGTTAACAGACTGGAGGTCACACTTGCCAGGACTGTGGAATTATGTCATGGGTTTGGCTTTAAAAAATGGGATTTTAGGGGCCAGGAATACAGCTCAGCATCATAGTGCCTGCCTGGCAAGTGTGAGGTTCTGAGTTCAATTTCCAGTACCCTCCCTGCAAAAGTGGGGTTTTAGAACTAGGTGTGGTAATGCACACCTGTCATCCCAGCACTCAGAAGGCTGAGGCAGGAGGATCCACACACGTTAAAGGCCAACCTGGGCCACATAATGAGTTCAGAGCCAGTTTGAATTATAGAATGAGACTCTGTCTCAAAAAAAGAAAAGAAAAAAGGACTTCATATTTAGTGAAATACGTCCGGGATTAAAGAGTTATCACCTTGTGGGGTTCGTCACTTAAGAAGTCGGAGCACTTGGCGATTAATGGAAGCTCAGAAGTAACTAAATCTCAATTCCAGAATTTTTGTCTCATTCACTGCTCTCATCCTAGTGGCCCTCAGGTCTCCATACATATTTGGCAAGTGAAGGGCACACAGGAGAAGAGGAGAAGTCTCTGGTGGAAAAGCAGCAGTGTATAAACAGGTATATGGTAAGAATAACTAGGAGTTCAAAGTCTTTTCTGAAGTTTCTTTTCATCTGGGCAACGTATTCTTATTTGTTATCAACTGCTTTGTTATACGAATGTGATACTCTAAGTCATTCATTTCAAGAGGTTTTACCTTGCTCATGAGCTGCCCCTACTGTAATTTGTATTATAACTGGATGACTAGATTTTGTGGTTTAAAGTAGTTGTAAATCCCAAGGTTCTAAACTTTAGTTGTTTTTTTCTTCATACAAAGAATTTCACCTATAGTTACATATTTCTTGACCCAAAGTCATTACCAACTCCTTAAAATTACCAGTCATAAAGCTGAAAAATGATTCAAAGGATAATCCTTTTCTTAATATATATATATATATATATATATATATATATATTTTTTTTTTTTTTTTTTTTTTTCTTTTTTTGTTTGAGACAGGACCTCACTACGTAGTTCAGCCTGGCCTTGAACTCATGGAGATCCTCCTGCCTCAGCCTTCTAAGTGCTGGGATTACAGCAATTTGCCACCTCATCCAGCCCTATATGGACTGATTTTTCAAGACATACTGGGCTATGTTGCATTAGCCTCGTACCTTGATTGCTTTTACTCATTTAAAAAAATGCTTGTTATTGTTCTTTTGGTGGTATTTAGTCAAATAGTCAAAATTTAGTAAGGAAAATTCTTAAAAAGTAGCCGTTCTGCCAGATTAGCCTTTGGGGGGTCTGATTCAGTATAAATTTTAACTTTCAATTTTCTTCAGTTTGCAGGATTTAATTTCTTCATATATCAAAACCAAAACCATTTCTGGTATTGGCATGAGAAAATTGCACTGGCTTCTGAATAGTTTAATTTTGAAGTGTGCAAAAGTCCACATGATTCTAATTAGCAAGGAGTTTTAGAGCACAATACATTGGTGATATCGGGACAACACTGGAGTACTTCAGTGGAGTCTGACAATTTGCTGTCCCTGGTGGATTTCACGTTAGCACATTTATGTTGCTTTCCCTCTGTCTCCCCATGCATGAGGTACAGTCTTGCCAGGCATCCACTGTGCACGCCAGATGTTCCCAAGTGTGTGACCCAGAAAATTACAGGCGGATTGGGATTCTTTTTTTGTATCTGGAATCGAACTCAGGACCTTGTACTTGCCAGGCAGGCACTGTGCCGCTGAGCTACATCCCCGGCCCCAGAGTAGCGTTCTTCACAGCATAAAGTTAGTGGATTATGGTCGTTTTCAATCACACCCACTCTTCAGGGAACCCAAAGAAACGTGGTGTTTAAGGGAAGCAGAAGCTGCTGCTTTTTCTGTGTGTTATAAACGTTTGCTGAAAGCACATTAAAAATGCTCTCTGTGCTTCAGCAGATGAACTCGGATTTTCAAACCGTGTTGCTCTTCTGCAGGTGGTGAGACAGACGTGTGCAAATCTTCCTAAGGGTGACTGTCCGACCGACCACAGTGACGACCCAATCACGGCAGCCACGACGGAGCCAGAGCAGTGAGGGGTGAGCGCGATCTCCCCGGCCAGCACCGTCTCAGTCACAGTCAGCTCCGCCCCCTGTGGGCCGTCCCGCGTGGAGGAGCAACTCCCTTCCTAAACACGAGGTCCCGCGTGTGCAAAGGTCTGCACTCGCGGGCGTGGGTGCGGCCTCTAAGCGGGCCCTGCGTGCTCCTCCTCCCGCGGGGCCAGCAGCTGTCACCTCCCCGGCCCCACTGCGGACCCCTTCTGCCCCCCACCCCCGCTGTCCCCTCTGGCTGGGAAGCAGGCTGAGGGGGGAAAGACGAGCCCAGCCTTCCCCACCCCGCACCCCAGCCTGCAGGGACTTGTGCGCAACAGAGAATAAGCCATCTAGGCCCGAGGACCCTTTCGTGTAAAGTTAAATTGTATCCAGCTGCTCCAGCTGTTTTCATTTCACGATCGAATGTTTACTGTTTTACTGAGCTGGGAAAGAAGCTCTTGAGGGTTGTGTGTGTATCTTTCTAAACAGGGACCCCCCACCCCATAAAAGCTTAAGCAGCAGAACATATCCGGGTCAGAGACCAAGTCGGGCTCATTCAAAGCTAAAGTTCCAGAACCTGACCCAGCTGGTCACTGATAGATGCCTACAAACACGGTCAAGAGAATAAAGAATGGTCATTGTTCTCCTAATTGAGGAACTAAATAGTAGGGCCTATAAGAGATGATTGTAATTAGGCAAAAGGCAAAAAAATTAAATTCTATTGTGTGTAAAAATTATACAATTTATTAAAGCCT